CCCAATCACTTCTCAAAGGCCCCACCTGTAAACTTCTGGTCAATCAAGTTCCCACTCCCTTAATGCCACACAGTGGGGTCACATTTTGACTCAGGACTTCTTGGGAGTGTGTCCTGGGGAGCACAGGCAAACTGTATCCATACTATAGCAATTACGGAAGAGAGAGAGAGCTTCTTCCTTGATCTCTCTTCTCGGTTCACTCTGAGGGAAAGCCAACTGCATATTATGAGGACACCCAAGGGGCTGGGAAAGAAGCCCCTATGGGGGAGATGGTGGCCTTGTGTCAGCAACCACGTGCAAGGGCCACCTTGGAAGGGAAGCTGTAGCTCCAGTCAACCCGTTAGCTGACTGCAGCTTGGCCAGTTGCTTGACTGCAACTTCATGAAAGGGCTGAGTCAAAACCCTCCAAATAAGCATTCTCAAACTCCTAACCGACAGAGGCTGTGAAGATGAAAGAGTCTTTTCTGCTATTTTAAGTCACTACATTTCGGAGTAGCGTACGCCAACAGATAACACCTGCAGGCATCAAAAAAATATCGACAATCTCGAAATAAATCTATCAAAACATCAAAGAACTATATAGCAAAGATTATAAATCTGTAAGAGCTATTAAAGGAAACCCAAATAGATGAGAATCTGCACCACATATGAAGATTTAATATTGACAGAGTATATAGATGTAGCCAAAAGGCCAGGAGATTTTTCATGAAGCTTGAAAAACTGACTGTCATGCTTATGTGGAAGAAGGAAGACTGCAGTGAGGGTAACTGGAACCTTTGAGAAAAGGAGTAGTGAAGGGAGCTTGTCCTAACGAATGCTAGGATGGATTAGGCTGACTTCAGCCAGGACGTGAGTGCATCCCGAATCTGCTGCCAAGGTCTCCACTCTCTCTCTATAGTGTGTGAGTCTGGTAGCTGCTGGCTGCCATCTTACCGCCCTGTGAACAGAATCTAAGGGTGCCCTCAGAGGAGAACCTGAGCCCAAAGATGAGGAAAAAGGAGAAACGTTCAAATTCCTACATCCAGCTGCTCCTAAAGAAAACCTGCCTCTGGGTTTTTCAGTTATATAAATGGTAAATTCCCCTTACTCAAATTAGGAAAGTCTTTCGACAATTGCTATAGACAAGATTCCCCCTGAGATTCACCCACTCATTAAAAAGCTTGAAATTCTACCATTAGGGTCTCATTACTGACCATTTCTACCTCCTCATACACTCACCTAAGTCAGGGGTCAACAAACTACATTCCTCAGGCCACAGCTGGCCAAGCATCATTTTAATAAAGTTATACTGAAACAGCCACATTCATTTACTTACTATGACTGCTTTGGAGCTAAAATGACAGAGTTGAGCAGACTCAGCAGAGACTGTGGTCCACAATGTCTAAAATATTTACCATCTGGCCATTTATAGAACATGTATGTATGACTCTGGTCTGAAGGAATCTTTCTAAACTACTTTAGAATTGTCCTGCCTGTTTAAATTCAGCGATTCCAGTCCCACATTCTGAGGAAAGGCCAGAGGCCCTTTCAAGTTGGAGGGCTAGACAATAGTCTCCCCCTGATGCCTTTCTACCTCCACCCTCAATCCATGCCTAATTAGCAGCCACTGCTGGTTCTCCCAAAGCTGGATAAGGTGAGGCAGGGAAGGTCACTAGCAGGATTGAGAAGGCAATTTGTCAGCCTCGCTATCTGCCCGCTGGGAATCGCCTGCGAAGGCAGCTGCTCAGCACAATAGTATCTGATCCAGGGAGCAGCCCACCCCCATGGTCTTGGGTCCTAATGCAGCCTGGAGTGGGGGATCGGCGTTCCCCTGACCCTGTCACCTCAGGGAAGGGAGGGTGAAAGACCTCCACTGAAGACAGCTCCATCCGAAGCCCTGGCTGGCTCTACACCTCTGGACAGCTCCGCACCTTCCTCCCAAGTTCAGCACAGGCTTGACAACCTGAAGCCGTGAAGGAGTCTCATGTCTTCCAGACGGGTTTTTCAGCAGACAAAAGGAGTTGCTTTGATTTTTCATAAAATAATAACGATGCTCCATTTATTCAAGTTCATCAAAACTAATTCTTCCTTAAACTTAAATTCAACATACGAACATGATTATTTTTTATCTAATTCTAGCAAAGCTGTCAAGCTTTTTTAGGGGCCCTTAATTAAACTGGACCCCATTTTATATACTTAACACTTTAAATAGTAAATATGTGTAATATGTTCCACTTTTGTTAAATTAACATATAATTGTTAAAGTAACACATGTACATAATTCACAGTCACATGGTATGAAAAGCCTTTGTCTTAGTCTGTTTTGTGTTAACAACAAAATAGCACAGACTGGGTGCTTTATAAAGAAAAGAGGTTTATTTATTTTGGCACATGGCTGTAATCCAAGCTGAGGTACCCCATGGCCATCCTGTCAGCAAGATCCTAGGGTGCAGGGCCTCACGTGGCAGGAAGCAGGAGGGCTAGTCAGACTCTCCAGATAATCCATTCATCGTGAGTGGATTACGCCATTTACGAAAGCAGAGTCCTAATCACCTTTCCAAAGCCCCACCGCATCACTTCTCCATGTTGCATGATGGGAGAAACATCTCAGCCTTAGTTTAGAGGGGACGCACTGCATCCAAACTGCGCTTTTCTTCCTCCTCTCCTCTGACTACCCCCTGTGTGTCTGCAGAGGCAGCTATTTTCAATCCTTTCTTCTTCCTTTATTTTATCTTGGGCTTGGAATGCTCACTGTTCCATTCTTCTACATAACATGCATATGGTAGTAATTTTGCACAGCTCAAGTTGCGTCACTGTCTCCTGAGCCATCATATAAGGTGAGGATTCCGCTCTCACTCCACCTGCCCTTTCACTTCTCCAGCCCACTGACTCACTGTGGTTACCTCAATTCTCAGCAGTCACATTATTTATTAATGTAACTGATATTCTTTTTTTTTCAGCTTTAATTGAGTTTATTGGTACATTTTAGGGATACATTACAGTTACATTCATTGTTGGGATCTTGTACCTCTACATGACAAGTCTTGATTCTCATTTTTTCCCCTTACCTCTGCCCTTGAGCCTCATAGGGCACTATGATCCTATTTTGGGGTTTTCTGTTGCTGTTGCTTTTCCTGCAGTTAACAATTACTGGTTTGTTTGTGTTCACATATTGCTAATTCTTCCTGTAATTTCCATGAATTTCATGGTATTACCCCAAATTCCTACTGTATTCCACAGATTTTATAACAATAGGATCTAGCACGATAACAACTGACCCATTTTCCCCTGGAGCCCTCCATTCTCCTAAATGGGCTGGTGTGGGTGGGTTAAACACCAATCACCCTGTGACTGTTCCTGGTTGTTATGCCACGAATTCCTTGTCTCCTCATGAGTAGAATTTCTTTTTACTTGGTGCTCCTGTACCCCTCTTTCTTGGTTTACCCCATATTTGGTCGGGGCACATTACCAAGTAGTTTCCTACCTTACAATGACAGAATGTGCAAATAAGCATGTGAAAAGATCACTTGTTACTAGGGAAATTATACTGCTACACACCTATCAGAATGGCCAAAATTCAGAACATCGGCAACACAAAAACCTGCACATGATGCTGATGGCAGCTTTCTTCTGTGCGGCCCAAACTGAGTCACCGAGACATTCTTTAGTAGGTGAATAGCTGTGTGGACTGTGGTACACCCTGAAAATGGAATATTATTCAACATTAAAAAGAAATGAGCTGAAAAGTCATGAAAAGACTTGGGGGGACCTTAAATGTACATTCCAAAGGGAAAGAAGCTATCTGAAAAGGCTATATATATATAAAGTATGATTCTGAAAAATGCAAAACTGTGATGGCAGGTAAAAGATCAGCAGGTAGAGGGGAGGAAAGGTGAAACTGGCAGATCATAAGAGGAATTTTAGGGCAGTAAAACTACTCATGATTTTTTCATTTATGCTACCATGTTACTCACTGTCAACAGCCTTATTCCTGGAATCTTCTCTTTTTTATCCCATTTTGTTCTTGTGTCATGAATGTAGTATCCTCACTCATCTCTTTGTTTGAATAATCATGGTTTTATTTTTAGTAAGTTCTCTTCCCCACTATGGTCTCTGTTCCCTGCAAGTCGCTGGTTCCTGTTCGACTTGGTCTTCTCAAGTTGGCTCTTTCCTCAGAGGTCTGGCAAGCATTGCGTATCTGTTTTTGAAGAGGCAAAAAGATGCTTGGATTTTAGCTGGAGCTGATGGGACTACTTAACCAGGAGTCCCTGAGGCCATGGGCTCTAGGTCTTTCCTCTTGGGAAGGTGAGATTTCCCAGAGTACAGGCTTCCAATCGGCCTGCGAGATAGAATCTCAGCTCTGGATGCTCACAGAGCTGCCGGGGAAGAAAGACTGGGGCAGACTGAGCAGGGTGCTGGGAGGGGGGGCCCTCAACACCGGACATGCACACGCCCGCTTTCCTTCCCTCTCCTTTCTTTGCCACTGCGTTCACATGCACCTGGGACTGGAGGTCTTCCAGTCCAGAGCACAGAGAAGAAAACCCACATCTACTCTACCGGGAATGGGAAAGAAAAGCACCTTAGGCTAAAATGAGCAGTCAGATCTATGACTCTGAAACCCATACTCATGGATTTCTGCCTTTAGAAAAAAATCCTTTAACTATAATTTTAGTAGGGTTTCAAAAGGGAGGGAAGTTATATGGATGTTAAATCCACCATCACTGCCATCCTATACTCTTTTTAAGCATAGCAGTTTTCCAAGTTAACATATAAAAACTAAGTATGTAAACCTTATAAATTTATAAATTAAATTTATAAGTTCAGTGAATCTTAATTTTTCCATATTCCAATACTAGTTATAAAGTGATTATCTTAAGCCACAAACGTAAGTAGATTACTGAAATATACATGTAAAATTAAAATTACCATGCTGGGCATGATGGCACTTGCCTGTAATCCCAGTACTCAGAAGGCTGAGGCAGCAGGATTGCTGTGAGTTCAAGACCAGCATGGCCTACACAGTGATTTCCAGGTCACTCTCAACTACATAGTGAGACCCTGTCTCAAAAAAAAAAAAAAAAAAAAAAAGGAATTACTAGGCAAAACCTTTTTTCTAATAGGCTAAATTCTTTTAAGTTTGGATATGGTCAAATGTCAAATACATGCAAATTTCTTCAGGCAAAAGCATTAGCATTTATATTTGATTTTCTTTAAAATTCTCTTAGTTTTAATTTGAGGCTAATTCATAATTAAGATAAATTAAATTATCTAATCCCATGCAATTCCAGGATGTCTTCTAAATATTCCAGGAGTTGCCATCTCCTCTCGTTGTGATTTATTTACTACCAAAGTGGCTCCTTGTGGGATGAGAGATGAGTTTTGATGCAATATGGATGGAGCACATGGACTCCTATCTAGGTATCACAGTGCCATGTCTCTCATCTCTTCAGACAAATTGGCCCCACCTGTGCACCCAAACTGCTTAGACTGTCTGATCAAAATTGGTAATCCTTTGGCTATTAAAAGCTAGCTAGCCTTTGAACTCAAGCTATGATTGACAAATACGGGAAATGTTTAAATTGTAAAAAGTTGATTACAGTAAAAGACCCATTTCTATTAACATCCCACCCCAAGTAGTCCCCCTCACTTTGAAGACCACTTATCCTGTCCTTCTTGCCACTTTCGGGAGCAGCTCTGGAAGTCCTCTTTCGTGAGTGTCTTTCCTTGCTCTGCAGTGGCTGCCAAGATGTTCTCCATCCATTCAAAATATTTGCCTTTCATGGTCACTTTAGGGAAGAGCCAAAAATTGCAAAGCATCAGATCCAGTGAACAAGGTGGATGAAGACACACAGTGATGTTTTATTTGACAGAAATTGCCAAAAATGTTTTGAACCCATTCAGGACATCAATTCCTAAAATAAAACAAAACAGAGGAGCGGAGGCAAAAGCCAAGCTGATGCAGTGTAGAGCAAAACTGCCCGAGGAGATTTGATCTTTGTTGAATCCTCTCACACAGCATCTCCAGGGGCTCTATTACCAAATAGAAAATGTGCTCGGCTGGCTGTGAGTCCACTGGGTCTTTCCCCTGGAGGAATGTGGGAACACTCAAGAGGAGGATATGCCTGTCTAATTATACAGGCTGTGGCTCCGAACTAGACTAAATGTGCTCTTTGAGCCACTGGGAAAAGAGAAAGTACTGCTAATGTCATTTTCAGGTGAGCCCCAAGGAGCCCAGTGGAAAAATAGCTGTATGGATGGCCAAAGGTGGCTGGAGAAGAGCAAGCCTGCCGATACTGTCAACACCATGAATGTGCTGGTGATGTCTGCTGGATGACTGAGGCCCCAAGGGCACACTGACACTATCTCTTCTGTGCACAACAGGAAAAAAGTCTGGAAAAAAGTAGCTTTAGTCTCTCTCTACTATGAGTCAGTTTATGGAGTTGCTCAAAGTTATAGACTAACTAAACGGTCAAACCCACAAGTAGATCTACTAAGGGCAAATGATCTCTAGTAACAATGTTTGTTTCTGCCTGTGTCCACTCCTCTTCCAACAGCCCAGAAATGGCCTCAACACCTTTACCAACATGGAGACCTTCTCTGAATCATGTTCTTTATGTTTTCTAACACTGATTTATTTCAGTGTCAGCTGGTTAATGGCTCATCTTGCCTCATGAGATGCATACCTTCAACTTCAGATCATCTCCATTTTAAATTCCTGAAAGCAAAAGTCCCCTTGCCTTTGTTCTTTCCAATTGCAGCGGAGTTTCTTACACCATACCTCATGGGCCAATGTTTCACCTGCCCTTGACTAGCTCCTCACTTCCTGTTCAACCAACTGAAGCTGGGGTGGAAGCATTAAGGCTAGATTGAAACACGGTGACTGGGTACGACAGGTTTTCTCGGTGCAGATAGGACAGACACCACAGAAGACATCTCTGGTACACTCCTTTCTTGGAGACCAAGAAAGGGCATTCATTTTCTTGTCCTCCCTCCTCATCGTCAGAAAAAAACAATTCAAAAAGCTAAAGGACAGGGTCCCTGGAAATGTCTCTAGGTGAGCTAGGAAGAAAGTCTTAATTTGCTTTTAGTGATGTCTAAGGAGACTCATCTGGGGTTGAAGGTTTGGTAAGAGGCATACTTTGGGTTGAAAATAGTTCGCTAATTAAAGACCTTTGGCCACTGACCATCTCTGGTGTTCTTACTGCTATGCTCCTGTGTGAGGACTCGGGATGTTTTCTGCTTGGAATGGCTCTGAAATCCTACAGAGTGATGATGGGCCAGAGGACAGTGGGAAGGGAGCTAACTGCTTGAGGCTTGTTCCAGTTTTAAAGAAGAGAAGGGGAAGCGAAACCTTCAGTTTTCACTAGAGATTAATATAATTGAGCTTCCCATGGTGAGAGGATGGCAGGATTTAGGCCAGAAGTATTGCCAGGATTAACAACTGAGTCAGTTGGCTAAAACGTTCCTTGGTGGGCTCTTTGGAAAGCTAGCAGGTGAGCAATGACGTGCGCCATTATGATCGATGTGAACATGACTTCTGACATTGTCTTCTGCTCTTGAGCTAACGGCAGGTAGCTCGATCAGATTGCAGCTTTGCCCTGTTCCAGTGCCACCTTAATGGCCAGCCAAGGATGGGAGGTTCCCCCGGCTCTGGGCACATGGCACATGGCCAAGGAGGACTCAGTGGGCTCTGACAAGCTCCTTGCTGCTTTTCTTCCCTCCTGGAGACCCAAGAGACCCCGCTCTGTTTGCGCCAATCAGCTTCAGTCATTCTGTCACCTGGATTTTCTCTATTCCCAGGCCCACTACAGAGCAGAGAATGGGTTCCCTCCATCCTCTTCCTGCCCACCCAGCCTATTATCCTGCCACAATGCACAAGAAAGCAGGAGGTGATGTGGAAGTCTTAAAAGACTTCAAATGATGTTAGTGACGAATCTTCACTGGGGCATGAATGGCACAGACCCAGCCTCTGGTTCGCTCGCTCATGGCGCTGCACTGCACAGGGCATGCGTCCAGCCCGGGGATTTCTTTTTGCCACGAGGGAAGGAAATCGCGGGTTAAGCATGGAGCAGCTCATCCTCAGGATTTGAGGGCTTTCATTTACATCTCGGTGACTGCCACACACACGTAATAGGTAAGAAGAGCAGGAGGAATGCTGTCTCCTAAAAGCTTACTCTCAGAAAGCTGCTGTGCGAAGCTTTGACCCACGTTTTCTTTAATCTTCTCAACAAGCCAATGAACCAGAGAGCATCTCCACGCTAAAGACCACAGAGATGGTCAGTTTGCTTTAGTTTGCACAAGTAAAATATAGAACTAGAATCTGACTCCGGAATAATGTGCATCTGCATAAAAATAATATATTCTTGTTATTCAAATGTCCATGTCCAAAAGAAAGGAATAAAAAGGAAAGTGAAAAATCACACATATTCCATCACTGAAGTATAATCACCACCAACATTTAGCATATCTTTTTAGACCTTTTGTTTCTATAGATACAGACACACACATACACCAAGCACATATTCATTCAGACACCACATAATTTTCGAACACATTTCGGGTACTATTCTACACACCGGGATATGCCAAATCCCATTCTTGAAAGCTTCTCTCCTACTGGGGAAGTCATGAGATAAACAAACACATGAATAAATTCGTACTATAATGTACATTAGCAGGTTTTCCATAAACAACTACACAGGTGTGCACTGCAGACTGCCAGAGGAAGCACACACTGCCATCAGTAGGAACGACGCAGGAGTTGGCAGTGCACAGTCTGTGCCACACGCGATGGGTAACGGCAGGCAACACACGGAGGATGTTATTTTGTGAATATGAGATCAAAAAACACTTCTTTGATTAGGGACTATTTGGGAGTTACCTAAACAGACAGAGTAAGCCCAGCAGGAATCAGAGAGAAGAGACTTCAAAGCAAGGGAAATAGCAAGCTGAACCCTAAAGCAGGAATGTTCTGGCCAAGACTAAGGAACAGCACAGAGGCTGCTGCAAGCAGAGGAGAGGAAACAAGAGGAAAGGGCTGGGCGATGAGCTCAGAGACGTAGTGAGGGCCTAGTCATGGCCTTGCGGGTGAGGTAAAGGCTGCAGATTGTACTATAAGTAATGGAAGCCACAGGATGAAGGACTTACAAACAAGTCTGGCCGCTGTGTAGAAAATCCAGGCGAGGAGACAGCACAATGAAGGGAGTACGGAGGAGAGTAATGTGGGCAGCTCGGACCAGGCGCAGAGGTGGAGCACTGAACAGGAAATGCTGCCAGGTATCGGGCACTCGGAGCACAGTGGGGTTTGCTGATGGACTGCTGTGGGTGTGAGGGAACAGCAGACAAGATGACCTGAGTAGACAGAGAGGCTCTCAGGAGATGTAGGGCATGAGGGCAGGGAGAATGAAGGGCAGCCCAGGGAGAACCAGAAGTTCCATCTGGAGAACAAGTTCCAGATGCTGCTTACACATCCAAGCGGAAGTGTGTTCAGCCTGGAGGTGCCACTTTGGAATATGCAGTGTACAGGTGGTGTTAAAAATCACCGATCAGATGAGGTCACTTAGAAATAAAGGAAGGAACCAGGGATTTAGCTCTGTGGCACCATGCCTGCCTCCTAAGCACAAGGCCCTGAGTTCGATCCCCAGTACCAACCAAAAACAAAAAAACCCCAAAGGAAGAGGTCTAGGGGCTGAGTCCTGTAGCAAAGCAATATTAAAATGTAAGGAAAATGAGAAGAACCCAATAAAATTCTCTATGAAAAGCCAGCCAGAGGGAAGAAGAAAACCAGAAGGGTTTGATGTAGGGAAAGCTAAACAAAGGAAGTGTTGCAGCAGGAGGGACGCTGGGCGAGCAAAGGCTGCTGCAGCACAAGGAGGGAAGCTGAGTTTGGGCACCGATGACTTCACAAGGGTAGTTTGGGTTCAGCAGCAGGGACAACAGCATGACGGACAGAAGGAGCCTGAAGAGGGGACGAGAGGAGGGAAGGGAGGCGAACAGAAAGGGCTTTTTCAAACAGTGGTGCTGTGAGGAGGAGCAGAGGACCTGGTAACTGGCAGGAGACGGGGTCAAGGATACAGCGTATTTCACCCTAGTTTTGTGAGTGAGTCATATTATGGCATGATTTTGAGGTGACAGTAATGATCCAGGAGAGAAGGGAGAAATCAGCAGGACAGAAAGACAGCACCACTGGATTCACATCTAGAAGACGCGGAACCAGTAGGATCTTGTGCAGAAGTTGAGTGAGGGCCTTTGCCACGATAATGAGTATTTATTAATTAAAACAGAGGGAGCACACAGGTATTGGTAATAGGCTTATATATACATACTTCCTGAAGATCTACTTACTAAATGACCACATTGCGATAACACTGCTTCGTAAAAAAATATTATGATCTCATAGTAATTCGAAGTATGCACCTTGCGTGACTTATTTAACCCTTTCTTGCTGGACATTTCAGATGTTTCCAATTCTTCACTGTTAGGGAAAATGAAAAGCCAATTTCTTAAACTCTGGTGACCTGACTACGTGCTTCTTACAGAAGTCACCTAACTCAGTCCACGCGGGGCTGCCTGCACCCAGGCTCACTCCCTACAGGCCTGGACCCTTCTGGGCAGTCAGGACACAAAGCAGAGGTGGGGGGATTCACTTTGGTCCGCTGCTGGGCCTGTCACTTCCTCCAGTCTCAGCTCTGGCTTTTCTTTGCCAGGCAGGAAACAGGACACTCGAAGCAGACACTACCTCCGTCCTCTCAGGAACTCAAAAGAGCCAAAAAGTATGGCAAGTACC